GTTTGATTATGCTTTATATAGGTGATTATTCAACTTGGTTTTGTCGTAATTAACATTATCTTTAACAAGCCTACCCTACACAGAATTAATAGTGTCTGCAAAGTAGTGTTAGAAAATATGGGTTTTCTTTATATGCTATCTGCTGTGATCCCATCAATCCCTTTCACTTGAATCGACGTTGCAACCGAAAATAAATGGTGGCTTAGGGTCAAGAAAGTGGTTATCTTGAATGTAGGAGTATATGCATGTGTGGTATGCTTGTAAACCTTCTTCATTAAGATAGTGGAACAAATCTTGATCAGGTTCTGATTGAGGACTGGATGTAGGTCACATGTGGAGTGGCTGAACCAGGATAAAAGACTTGTGCAATCTTCTCTTACCCTTATCTTTTACTTTGTGTAATATCTTGATTGTACATTAAAGAAGATGATTCTTGATTAACATGTGTGCATGAATAATGTTGGTTTAAACTGAATTAAAGCATTACATATTGGTGTTAACTTTGAACCTCATTATTTTGTAATCAAGAAAGAATATAGTAACTCATTACATATTGGTTATCCTGAAAACTTTGCTCACAAGCGTCCATCCAAACAAAAGCTGATCCTTCCAAGTCAGTTAAGTCAAAGACATTACTATTCGAGAGAAACCCTTTGTGAATCTCTGATAGTAACCCATTAACCCAACAAAACTCCTAATCTCTGTAACAGTCCTCGGACGCTCCCACTGAATGACAGCCTCCACCTTGGCTGGATCCACTACAATCCCCTTTGTCGATATCACATGCCCCAAAAACCTCACCTCAGACAACTAAAACTCACACTTGGACAGTTTGGCATACAACTACCTCTCCCTCACTACCTCTAAAACCAACCTCAGATGCTCATGGTGATCCTCCAAAGATCTAGAATACACCAATATATCATCAATGAAGACCACCACAAACCTGTCCAAGAACGACCCGAAAATCCTGTTCATTTAATCCATGAACACTGTTGGAGCATTAGTGACACGAAACGCATCACTACGCACTCATAGTGACCATACAGTGAGTGAGGGAGAGAAAAGATAGCTACGGGGTCTCACACACTCAAACCAATGTAATGTTGGTAAAAAAATTATGAAGAAATTTGAATATTTTATTTAAATGAAAATTAAAATAAAAGAATTTCCGTTGAAGCAATTGAATTTTTTATTATTTTTTTTAAATTTGAAATCCCCAATACTCCATTAGAGCACACACCAAGAGAAATGTCAAACATTTCACATTTCTCGATCTACCATAGGTTAGTAAATGGACTTGTAACCGTGAAGATTTACAAAGATGAAAAGCATTGCTAAATAGACTAGTAAACATGAAGATTAAAAAAGATGAAATCAAAGGCAGCCATGTGGTTTGGAAATGGTGCCATAGTTGCTTGTAATAGGATTCTTGTGTCACTTTTAAAGCACTGTTGGTACACCTCTTTAATTTTTTTCTTCAAGCAACACAAAGCTGCCATTGCACGAGACTAGACCAACTCTAGTTTGGTGACTTGCTCTATATGCTTTGTTACACAAGTTCAAAATTCCTTGGCTCACACTCACACTTTCAATAGGCCAAGGATTCTTTTTTTCTTCATAAACAATAGTATTTAAAGGATATATGTTTATGTACCCACTAGAAAGAATCCTAAATTAAAGTTTCCCGTGAGTGATCAAACTAAAGGAATTTTAAAGAATTTGCCATTTTGAAACTTTGGGGGTGACAATCCCACTAATAAGCAGTAATAATGACAAAATTTTTGGCAAATAGGGCTTATGAGAAAATGATAAGAGCATGATTGTCCCCATTGCTCTAATCAAATTGTACTTCTTGGTTTTTTTTTTCATTTCATATTGGTGCCGCGAGACTCGATGTGCCATGATTCAATTTTCATAAAGAAACTACTATAAACTAATTTGAAAGTGTGCTCAACAGGCTCTCTAGGACCCACAAAAAATACTTACCACCTAACTTTTTTAAGATTTTGTTAATCATTCTAGAGACAAAGAAACCTAAATTGCACTGCTTTAACATGTTCACATTCATGGGACCAAACCAGAGACCATAAAAGGCTATACTATGCTCATCTAGATAGTTCTTTTACTTTATGCATATGCATAATAGGGTCGATTAGTTCAACTAAATAAACCAACCTACTCCTTACATCACAATTATTTCTTACTATCCCCAACACCAAATGATTGATCTCCCAAAATAGAATTGACTTAATTACAAGTTGAAAGAAAGATAAATAGAAAATTAAGTACTTGTAACAATGTGATATTCTTGATATGTATATTTCTATAGAAACAAACAAGGGCAGACACCAATCGTTCCTGTGAGAAATGAGACCATTTGTGAAAATATGTCATGCACCTCCTGAATAAAATAATAAATAACTTTACATCTTATTTGATTATAAACTATCATTTATAATAAATTTATTAACTCTATTCATGTGGTGGGGGTGTGCTAGAGATTAGGGTATCTTCCAAAGTGATCTACCCCACTGCATTTGATTCAAAGGCGCAGAGTCCTAGTTCAGATTCTGTGTGTTCCTAAAGTCTGGGCAATAAGGACATTTCATTTGTGCAGTGTAACTGGAGTGAGAAAAAATGAAGTGAAGTAAGTAAAAAGCAATGTCATTATCAATCACTACCGTGAAAGTACTGAGTAATTTTCAGTGAGGAACTACACTTGTTGCAATATTCCATTTTCTGTAGGAAAGAGCAATGCAAAAGAAATGTATGATTTTCTGACTCACTCTTTTAATTGGTCCTGAAAATGTTCAGCTGAAACAAATAAACCACTCACTCACAAAGCAATTGGCTACACAAATCTGGTACCTTGTTACTCTTGCATGTCTCGATCTTCAATTAAATTATTTCCTTGTCCCTTCAAGATTTTGGATAATAGATTTTAAAAAATAATTGCATTTGTAGAAAATGATTGTGGATGAATCAAGGGTATATATATTTTTATATGCTTTCTTTTGCATCATTTTTATGCATTAATTTCAAAATGGTGACTTCACCAAGAGATGTGACTGGTTCTTAGTATTTTCACAGCTCAATCAATGCTTTAACTTCCCTTTACGTCTCATTTTGTGGAATACATGTGCCGACAAACTACAGCTACAGTAAAGGGCTCTTCTTCCTTGACCAATCCTGCAAAGTTTTTCTCTTTCAGCCCAACAAGACTAGAAGAGCCATTCATAGATGCAGAAATCACTGTCTAACTTTTTTTTATTTTTAACCCCAAAAAAAAATTCTTTTTTTGGTTTTTTTTCCTTGGTGGGGGACAAACGCAGGTACATAATCAAAATGACATTTTTATAATTGTCTCCACCAAATCCAAATTACCATCATTGTCATTTTTATCACCATTCCCAGCTTAGCAAGAAGTCGCTCTCAGACCTTGCCTAGTGCCACCAGATATGGCCACACTGTCACTGTTATTTCAGCTCCAACATTAACTCTAGGAGTAATTGCCACAAATAGGGATTTAAGAGGGATGATTTGAACAAATTTTTAATGGAATCATAATGTGTGAATAAAAATATTTATTTATTTATAAAGAACAGTAAATATATTAAAAGTTATTGCATGTTGTGCATATACATCTTATGTATAGTTGGAGTTATAAGGTGGTATTGGTAGTGTGGGGAAGGGACGGTGTAAAAAAAAATCACTTGACTTTGGTTTGAGAGAGACTTTTAAAGGAAAACATTATAGACAATGATTGTATGATGAATTATTTTAGGAATTTTCTCTCCCTTTTATAGAAATCAGAAAAATAAAAAGTCAGTAAAACTAAATAGAATTACAAAATAACAAGTAATTTATAAATAGAATTTTTTTTTTATTTAAATCTTATTTTTGACTCCCCAATTATTTTATTCAAGCTCCCACAATGATAGAAGATGCAATACGTTTACCAATCCAAGGACAAGGATGGGTCTCAACTCTCAACACGATAGTCACAAATTGTACAATGTCAATCTTTGTGTGACTGAAAACTCTTAAAAATTTGACACTACTTTAGCTCCATTTCACAAGAACCACCATATCATATCCGGAAGATTCATTGCAAATTCTACGAAGTTGACACAAACATGCGTTAAACTTTCTCAAAAAAAACAAAAAACAAAAAACCCCACCATTGAATTCTTTGGGTCAATCTCCAATTGCTCTCATAAAGGAATGAAGTTGAAATTTAAAAAACATGCTATAAATAACAAAGTGTTCAATAAAGTTGATGGATCATTGAATTCTTTTAAATACATTGAAAAAAATTTGATTCTAACTATGTATATGAAAAATACTTCATTAAAAAATGATGTCTATTTTAATAATGTAAATCTTAAAAAAAAAAAAAAATCAATTCGTAACTATAGATTACGAAATATCTGTAGTAGGAACGAAGAAAAACTAAACCATTCAAAGTTAATGCTCAATATATAACATGCATATTGATATTGTCAACAAAACTAAATGACACTAAGTATTAAAATTAGTAAAACAATATTTTTAATAACTTTTTTCTTTTATAAATGTGAAGCTTTATCAATTTGACTAATAATTTAATGATATTATCCTGAGGATCATATACGCTAAATGTTAGATAATTCAAAAAATTGAAAAAAAACCAATATTATAAGTATTTTCAATATTATTTTTATTACTTCAATCACAAGCGTCAATTCTTAACATCGACTTTTATTATCGATGTTCCAAGAGTAATTTTTTTTTTTTAATTAGAAAACACCACTCAAAGCATGGATCACTCACGATCCATTTACCCTGAACCTTACTATCACTTGTGGCCCAAAATCAAGGAAAGGAATTGTTTTCAGAACCCGGCTGAGCCCAAGAATCCAACTACAGTGAATAGTCCAATTGGGCTTTTACACTTGAAGGCCCACTTATATGAAACAAGTTAGGTGTCAACATGAACGTGCCACGTAAGCAAAAGCACTTTGATTAAATCAAACTTCGCCGCCGCGAGCATGAGCGGTTACCGCCTCCACCGTGCCCTCTGCGCCAAACCCGAACTCGAAGTCGTCGAAGAAGAAAGCGAACAGCGCTCACAAGATGCGCCTGGCATTCACCGTCGCCACATTAGCCGCCGCAGCGGCTATCGTCTCCGTCTTCTTCGCCGCGCGAAGGCGCAAGCAGCACAAGTTCGCTTCGAGTTCGTGCTATTTGCATTCCGAACAGAAACCACAGTGTGCTTTCAAGCGCGTTGTAGCGGATAACTCCTATGCTCCGTTCAAGCACCTCAGCAATGACGGTACATTTCACACTCCGCACTTGTTTAAGTGTTTCGTTGGCGGTAAAATGAAGCAAAATATGGAAGTTCACGTTCTCGATCCTGAATACATAATGTTTTGCCGCTGTAACTATAGGAAAGACGCAATAGCTGTTGTTTTCGCGTGCCTCGATTATTCGAAGACTTTTTGTTTAATTTTTTTTAACGTGCGATTATTTTGTATGAGGTTAAGAAATTGAAGTAGCGTAGTGGAATTAGGTGATGTTTTTCCGGAAATTTTGTGATAGGGAAATGGATTGAGGTTGGAGGAAGGTTAAATTTGAAGTGAGTTTTCACAATTTCATTATCGAGATTTGTTTAACAAAATTGGTGCAGAATACATAATACAGAAAGCTAGAAATTCGTTGTTTTAAGGTTATGAAGAAGAAGCTGAGTTTAGTGGTTTCTTACAGAGAATGCTTCGAACTCGCATCCGTTCGAGGCAGAGATTACGGCATTGTTGAAAAATCCTCAGCCTGAAATTGATCTTGGAACTGAGATGGTGGACTTGGAAATGAAGGATTCATATGTTTGGGTTCATACCGAGATGCAGTTAAAGGAACTGGTTGATGTATTGAGCGAAGAGAGATTCTTTGCCGTGGACACGGAGCAACATAGCTTACGATCCTTTTTAGGCTTTACAGCATTGGTTCAGGTAATTTTGGGTGCAGTTTTAAATGCTTGTTTCTGATTGCATTGTGTGGGGAATTTATTGTTTGATGAGTTTGTTGATACATTTGTGTTTTGATATCATCAAGCAGATTTCTACACAGGAGGAAGATTATTTGGTTGACACAATTGCCCTGCATGATTTTATGGCCATTCTTCGCCCTGTTTTTGCCAATCCTTCAATTTGTAAAGTATGTAAGTTATCGGTTGCACTTGCACTGACATTAACTGCTTCAATTTCAATTTCTAACCTAATTCTTTACTTCTAAAAAACTATAATATATTCTTAGAATAATTTTTTTTTGTCATTCACGTCTATTTATTAATTTTTTTTTCCTCTCAATGGAAAATTTTTGAATAGGTGTTCCATGGGGCCGACAATGATATACTGTGGCTACAGAGGGATTTCCACATATACGTTGTTAATCTATTTGATACTTCAAAGGTGAGCTACTGAGCTGCCTATACATGTTGCTACTATCATGTCACCGAACCATGTACCACACTAGAATTTTCTCCTTATGCATAACAGAACTGGTGAAGCTTGCCTCATTCAATTGATTGGCAGTAACTTTTTATTTTTATTTTTTTTAAGTCAGTGTATTGTTCATGTACTGCAGGCATGTGAGGTGCTGTCGAAGCCACAGAAATCACTTGCTTATTTACTTGAAACTTACTGCGGTGTGACAACAAATAAATTATTGCAGGTTTGACCTGATCATGCTAGATCCTTCATTGGATGAGTTCTTTGGTAGTCTTCAACAAGTTGCAGTTTTAAGTATTTAGTACTTACGTTTTAGAATGGATATATTTAAGTAAAATGAAATGCCTATAGTTTTCACTTTCTCATGGAGTTCAGCCTAGAATGAATTTGAGCATAAAAACACATTATAAAGTTCTGGCATCTTGTGAGGTTTTCCCAAAGAATGATAGACTTATTGAGTGTCTTATCTAGAATGGGAGAATTACTTCTCCCATTCAAGGCACTATTTCTCTTTTATAAAGTTTTTATAACATTATTTCTAATTACTAATTCAATTGTTTTGTTGGGTAAACCTCAATCACAATTTTTTTTTATACGTAGAATTACAATAAACTTCTAAAGGATTTTGACCCATAGCAGTTGAGCTTAAGACTTGAGCTTATTGAAATGACCTGTCAAACTATTACAAATATGTTTAATTAAGTATTGGTTGAATGATGAATTTATACTAGACCTTTTTTACCTAAAAGGGGGAAACTTTAAAAGTATTTTAAAATGAAAATAGTTGAATGTAGCTTAAAACTTGTGTAATGGATTCATTTTCACAATCACGAGCACAGATATTTATACCAAAAACAAAAGTTATAAAGTGGTGTAATTCAGATGATACATTTATTCTTACTTTTTAGTGTCACAGTTTTTAAATTGAAATTGAGCTTGCCCCTGCAGGGTAAAAGAGATTTGTGAATCATACATTTGAAGATCTCTCTTTTCCACTGATTCAAAAGTTGTCATCTGAACAATGAATCATACATTGGCAATGAATCATCTAAAATCCTTTTATATCGATTATTAATGATGCAGGCAACTGGAAATTTAATGAGCCACGTCAATGGATAAACTTGCGCATCTGAAAAAAAATTTGCGTACTGATAGAAACCTGGTATCTTATTAAGAAGAAATAGGGATAAACCCCAATTACTAGATAGAAACACTGCAGAACTTCAAGGATCTGTGCCTCTCAATGCCAAAAGGCCCCAATTCTTTCAAAATTTACATGATGATCTCTCTCTCCACCTCCCGTCTCTTATTTATTGGCTGCATTCCTTATTCAACTATCTTACCTAACTAACTCACTAGTGTTACTAATTAATGGGTAACCAACTAACCTATTGTAACTGACTACAAATGGGGGTTACATAACACAAACATTTTCTCTTTCATGTAGTAAAATGTTACAAATAAGTCACAATGCTATTATTTTGTTTGGGACATTTTTAGTTCGTAACCAGAACTGATATTTACTTTAAATTTTAATTGTAGCGTGAAGACTGGAGACAGCGCCCCCTCTCAGAAGAAATGGTACATTATGCACGAACAGATGCACACTATCTGCTGTATATTGCAAACTGTCTGATCAATGAACTCAAACAACTGGACATCGGTATTTCCTTGTCTTATATTGTGAGGAAATGGAAAAATAGAAACAAAAAAAAAACACTAATAAATTTTAAGCATTTTATTAATTAAACTAAAGCTTTGAAAAAATACTTTGTCAATCTCTCTTTCACCTCCTTTTATATTTTCTCCATGCCCCCAAAAAATGTGGCTAAGGAAATTAGTAGATTATTTTATACCTGAGATGTGCAAGATCTGCAACTCTTAATTATGTTATGGTCCTAAGGATTTTGTCATTTTTACTGGATAAATTTGAGAAATTAACAGAAATAAGTTTATTTTCATTGTCACTCAGCTCACCAACTCTTTAGAACCTTCCTGTGTTAATGCTATTGGGTCTAAATTCAGAATTTATTTTTGTGTCAGAAAACTCCTGTTCTGAAGACAAATTCCATTTTGTTCTTGAGGCTAGTCGGCGTTCAAATATGATTTGTTTACAACTTTTCACGAAAGAGATTGATGCTTCTCCTGGAGAATCTTCTGCATTATCACTATTTTCACGTCAAGCGAGCAGTCATGGCTTTCCATCAATTTCAAACGAAACCCAGGTTTGTTGCTTCCTGTACAGATTTGAAGTATTCTGTGTGATCTAATTGGATATATTGTTCTAATGTGATCTTCTGCATACAGATTCAGATTATTGTGAGGCAACTCTGCGCATGGAGAGATCTGATGGTCAGTTATAAATAATATATAAAGGCTCCTTAAATTTAGCGTTCTTTTTTGTTACAAAAAAGTTAGATTAGGGTTAGACACAATTTCATGCAAGACCTACATTTAAGAACAAATTTATTACTGTAACTGTCTGCATTCACTTCCTTGAATTTGAGGACCGCTTTAGTTTGCAAACTATGAGATGGAACAGAAATTTGTTCCATGTTCATAGTCCTTTGAGAGATCTCTTCATGCTTCTTGAAATTATGGTAACATCTTTTCATGCCATCTAAAAAATAAAACCTATAATGGACTAAGAAAAAGAAGGGAATTTAATCAAGTACATTGAGAATGATTCTTTTATATTTTGAAATTTATTATATTTGAGAATACTTGACATTTGTTCAGTTATTAATTGATTTAATAATTGAGTTTATTATTTTTAGCAATAGAAATAGTTAGGTTTAAATTCCTTTGTTCCATAATTTATCCCTAAAACGGATCTACAAAACTAAGTGTGTTTGATTGAACTTATTTTGAAGAAAAAATCACTTTTTTTACCAACTTTTTGAGAGTTTTTAAATTAAAAAAATCATTTTCTCAGATTTTTTTCCAAACATGTTCTTAGTTAAACTGTCTTTATTATGATAATGAACTAAATTTATAAATCAAGATTTTGTTGCTTTCTGTACAATCTTTGATGTAGTGCTAAAAATATTCTATTTGACGCCAGAAACTTGTATGTTAGCAACATGAGCTTATTATTCTGCGGTATGTCCATACTTTCAGGCTCGTATTCATGATGAGAGTTTAAAATATGTACTGTCAGACCAGGCAATTGTTGCTTTGGCAAGTAAGCCTTCAGCAAGTCACACTGAAATATACAAGACCATAGCTCAGACTGATATTAACATGAAAATGGGTCTCAGCTCTTTCATCCCTTCCCCATCCCCTGTTGTTTGCAGCCACCTGAATGATCTCCGTCATTTGCTTGCAAACAAGTTGGTTAATGATGATATTTATTCGATGATTCTTCAGAAGTGTCTGGGTCAAAACGGGAGTTGTCCACTTTCTATTTTTAATTATGCTTTGTTGGTGAACAGTAACCTGAGACCTACTTTAGTCCATAAACAACCTGGCCCAAAAAATCCTAAACAATATTCTAGGAAGGCTTCTCGAGATTTGTTTGTTCAAAAATTCTCTTGTAAATCTCCTGTTTATCACAATTGTCGGATATATGCTAATGATGGGAGGCTGCTTTGTTATTGTGATCAGAGGAAACTTGAATGGTTTGTGCACTTTCCCTTATTTCTATTCCATTTGTAAAATACTAAAAAGTTTCATTAGTTTCTCCTTCATTAATGTTCAAATTTCCAGGTACCTTAGTCGGGATCTTGCAAAACTTGTTGACGAGGAACCCCCAGCCATAATGCTTCTTTTTGAACCCAAAGGCCGGCCAGAGGACGAAGGCAATGACTTTTATATCCAGAGTAAGAAAAATATATGTGTTGGGTGTGGTGAAGGAAATCACTACTTACGGTATCGAATAATCCCATCATGTTACAGAATACATTTCCCTGAGCATTTGAAAAGCCATCGATCTCATGATATTGTCCTACTTTGTGTGGATTGCCATGAAGTTGCACATGCTGCTGCAGAAAAGTACAAGAGAAAAATAGCTGTTGAATTTGGGATTCCTCTCTACCTTCGGAGGGTAGTTCATCCTGGTCAAGGGGCTGATGAACAGATTGAAGAGAGAGGTGTATCTCCATTACAGTTACGAACAGCTGCTATGGCTCTTCTACGCCATGGACCAAGAATGCCTGTCAATCGCCGCGAAGAACTGACTGAGGTTTGATTGTATTTCTGTCTGTTATTGGTTTCTCTGAATTGATTGGATGCGTTTTAAATATAAAATATGGGTTCTAAATTGTACATCTGTAGTGATTATCATTGTTCGTTACTTTTATTGAAGAGCTTTGTTGACTGCAGGAGTTTCTGTTTATCAAGTTACTTGTGAATTTACTTGCAGATTGTAAGGAGATATTATGGAGGAAGGGATATATCTGACGAAGACCTAGAAAGAGCTTTGCAAGTTGGCATGACTCCTCATGAGAGAAGACGATTTGAGAAGAAGAGCGGATTTTCTTTCAAACATTCTACGGAGAGTACTGCTACGATGCCAGAACAAGATAATCATGCTGGTTGCACACGCAGAATGAGTAATGTGGACACCTTGAAAGTTGTTGCTCGTGATGGCTCATATGCAAATGAAGAAACTAGTGAAGTAGATGGAGAACTTTTGATGAGAAAAGATGATTTTGGAAACTCCACTTTAGCTTCTGATATTACAGTTAATGGATCTGTCTCTGCAGCTTTGCACGGAAACACGATCACAGTTGAAACTTCAGATTATGATGAAAACAGTGACACTGCTGTAAATGTTGATAATAGCTGTCTGAGCAGAAGGCATGCAAATGGACATAGCGACTTGTCCTATCCCCTCAATGATGAAAAGTCGACACGTGCTGAACATAATTCAAAACTATCACTCTTGGGACATGGACCACATGGTAAACAGGTTGTAGATCATTTACTGAAGGAGTATGGTGAAGATGGCATTCGAGAGTTTTGTCAAAGATGGAGAAAAGTATTTGTGGACGCTGTAAATCCACGTTTTCTTCCTGCTGGTTGGGATGTAAAACACAGGTATGCTATGGTTATTTGTTCTTCCTGTTTCCTTTCTAATCACTAGTTTTCATCGTATGTCTTTTGGTTATTCTCAATAAACATAAATTTCATATAATCAACATTAATTTTTATCAAACATGTGGGTTACATGCACATAAATAAATAATCATCGCCCTTAAAAAAACTGAGAATATAATGATGTCCCTTTTGGACAATTGGAGAGTCTGGATATATTAAGTAATTTTCAAGTTGATGCAAAAAGACTAATATTAGGTTCATACATCATAGATCGCCAATATAGTTCATATTAAAAATCCGGCATTCACATTCATACATCACTGAACACGCCCTTAATTGGTGTTTCTTGATGATATCATGGTCAAAACTTGTAAATATAATTCTTGGTTTATATCCCAAAAGAAAAATATTATGATGCTCGCTTTGCTGCCAGTAGATAGTTATTTGTAGTACATATTTGTATTACTATTGTGTATAGTTACTGAGTTTTCATTCCTCCCCTCGAGGCTTTGATTTTGGACACTATTTTTGCCAGTGGAAGAAGGGACTTCGGCGAGTTCAGTGTATACAATCCTGACAAAAGAGCAGCTGCTGTTGGTAGAGAGTAACTGTGCAGGATCTGTTTGATACTCCACTTCCTCTGACGGCATAAAAACTAAACACCTTAATTTCATTTTTGTTTATTTTACTATTGAGAATTTTCAAGTATTGTCTTTTTGTAGGTACAAATAGCTCTCGATAACAGTTTTGTCAATGGTTTAATTATTCAAACATAAAAATACAAGCATTCTTGTGAATTTACAAAGCAAGAACGTTGTTGCTTGTGTTTTTCAATTATAACCCACGGCATTGGATCGCCTTGAGAGTGACCAACCAAAATCCAGAGCCAAATTAAATTTTATTTACTCTTATACTCATGGACTATTCAATAATTTTCCCTTGCCTTAACCATTCCAAGCCCCACCATACGGCTAAGAGAGGTGTATTAGATTAGATTTCATAAGCGCTTTTTAGAAGAAAAAAATAATTCAAAAGAGTTGGTAAGAATTTAATGATTTTTTAGATTTTTTGAAAAAAATTGTAGGAATATAATAATTTTAAGGATTTTTTCAAAAAATTAATAAAAATTGTGATATGAATTTTAATGGATTTGTATATCAAGAATTTATAAGATTTGGAATAATTTTATTAGATTTTAAAAGATAATATGAATTTTTAAAAATAATATAATTAAGAAAAATATATATATAAATGATAAGGTTTGAATAAAGAAAATAAAATTGATAATTTTTTTAATCTTTTAATAAACAATTGATTCTAATTTTATCTTTTTTAAGTAACATTTTTCTGTATATAATTTTTTATGTATTTATATATTTTTTATTCATATTATTGAATTTAAATAATATATTTAAATTTATCATATTATTTAACTGGAATAATTGTTAAAATATGTTTTAAAAATTGATATTTTAATATTAAATTTTATTGAAAATAAACATTTATTAAATGTCAACAATCTAAAAAATTTACAATATAAAATATTTAATAATTTTAAATATTTAATAAACAAAATAAATATTGATAAATTAATAATCAATGTTCATATATAAAAATAAATAGGAAAAAAAAGAAGAAAAAAAATGGGAGATGAACAAAAAGAGACAATATGAGATAGAAAAGACAGAAAAAGAGAGAGGATAAAGAGAAAAAAGATGAAATACTGAAAAGTGAAAAGAGAGAGAGAAGAGAAAAATGAGAAGAAAAAGAAAGAAGCAAAAAATGCAACAAAAAAAAATTTATGCAAAATTTTTAATTTTCATTAAAATTGTTGGATAAGTAAATTTTATGTAAATTTTAATAAAGTTTCATGACATCCATCAATTAAAATAATTGATCAAAATCTATTATTTTTTTTTTGAATAATAACAAACTTTTATAAGCAAAAAAAGGTCTTAACTAAATATCACTAAAATTTAATATACAATGTGCAAAAATCTTAATTATTTTAATTAAATACCATACAATCTCATTATATGAAGAAAAAAAAAAGGTTAAATTAAATACTCCAAAACCTTTTTATAATAAAAAAAATCTTTTATAATCTTTTAAAATCTCAACCCAATACATCCCTCTAAAATGTTTTAATATTTATTTATTTATTATTTACTTTTTTACTCTTTTGCGCATTGTGAGTGATTAAAAGGCTTCAATGTTTAGTAGATCAATACAAGATTATGGTTCGTATTGTGCAATGATAATGTGATTTCCCTGCAATTACATTGAAGCAGCAGCTAAAAAGTGCTTTTAGTTACATATAAACGTAGAGTTCATTTAATAAGGTGGACTGTTCAATTTTACAAATAAATATCAATTTCCCTCTCTTGGGCATCCATGTCCGTAGATACAAAATTTTTGTATAAAACAAGAATCCAGTTTTGTCCACCAAACGAGCAAAAATGCCTCGGTAGTGTGCATTAGACTAAAGGAAGCCGTTGTTTATAGACGAGTGTCCGCCCCACCAAACACTTGAATCTTCCGATAGAACTCTATATCAGCAACATTATAAAAAATTATAGTGGGAATAAATATTGTACCATTGTTAAACCAGTGAGTTTAAACACTACCATAGTACAAGCAGTTACAATGACAACAGCTGCGACTTGTGGTCAATGCCGTTGAATATGTAGGTTCCGGACATTGGTACAAATTGCTTTGTTATGAGCTGCGAGGAACAAAAGTAATGTCATTCCCAACTCAAATACTCTATTTTTAAATATAACAAACAAAATGATCTTCCTTTTGTTATTAAATTTTTTATAGGAAACCTCCCCAGTCCTCTACGCCTCAAGGCTAAGAAGCAAACCCAAGACTTGCAAACAAAACTATTCAAGATGAGCTAGAACTAGAAGTGCAAACCTTGATCACTTCTTGTGATGCAATTCCTCCGACCAAAGCAGCAACAGCATGAAGCTCCGCAGCACCAAATCGACACATCTCATTGATAAGGTCCTCAGCCAAAGTGGCACCATTGCATCCCAAGTCATTAAGTAGGCCAATTGCTGTGCTCTTTAATCGAGGTATATCCTCATCCATTGCACTGCAAGACAATTACCATATCAGCAAAATCCACTCTTAATAATGAATCCCATTATAAAACTGGAAAATGTTTAGAACTTCAACAGAGTGAAGAATTACCTGTCAAACTGTCCTGGAAAACTGTTGTAATTAGCAGCAAACCGGTCAACAGCACGAAGCAAAATGTAGATTCCCACAGCCATGCTGCCACACATATACACCGGAAACCAGCTTTTCAGCAAAATAAATCCTTTCCCACAGAAAAATTCTTAATATGAAAACCATGCAGAAACATTAATTATAAGATGGACATTACCTGTAATCCTCATCAGTTAGGTACTTCTGTAACTCGGGTAGATTTGGAGAATTAAACTCATCTTCAATTAGACGGTACCTGCAAACCTACAAAGTAAATGTTAGAATCTATACATAAGACTTTGTAGCGGTCTGCAATCATGCAATTGCTCTTTATATATTAGACAAAGGGAAGGAGAGGAGCTTCGGGGGGAAATAAGCATTCCCAATTATCTACTTAGAATATACCCAACTTACATGACTCATTCAGAACAATAATAATGGCAACAATATCCTACCCACTAAGAAGAGAGCTTGGTGCAATTTTCAATCCATATTTTTGGTCTGAAATAAAAACAAAAGCAGTGTAGTCCTTTTGAATGTTCATTCTACACACACACATATATCTAAATCATTTGTCTTATGCATATGCATTAACTAAGCTTTATTCTACAGTGATGATGAGACTGTTCTGTTCTCAAGATCTTACTAGCAAGCTGGGAATGAGATATTCATTCACTACCTTGAAGGGGAGTGTTGCATCATGTGTGACAATTAATATAATTAGCACCTAATTTCCTTCTATTTATTCTTGTACAGATTTTAAATAAAGCAGATTTTAAGATGTACAGATTTACTTCCCTGCAAGTCCATAATTAGGAAAAAAAATGGAATTGTAAACATCCACTATAGTCTATACCATTTATCATCGGAAAATAATCATTTTTCGTATTTCCCTTTTACAAACTTATCAATTAGATTCAATATCCACGTCAGTAATGCAAATATTAATATTTAAATAAACTGCACTAAAGTTCAATTATTTTTTCAACCAGCTCAAAATTTTAATCAAATTAAATTAGATTAGTGCAGCATACAGATGTAATTAAATAAGCAGTCCTTTGGAGATTCATTAGAAGCATTGGCTTAATCTAAATTGCAAATCAGAAAAACAAAGCTCATGTAGGCTATACATAATCTTTATTTCATTTAAAAGGGAGAATGCTAATAAATGCTTTTAGGACATTGGTTAAGGAATCAAAAGTGGTAAGATTTTATAGAAAAAGTAACCAACACCTTAAGGCACTTGTTAGCAACACCCATATAAAAAAAGTAGATAATAGTCAAGTATGCAGGATGAGTAAAAACACAATTAATATTGAGAATTTGAGATTGACCCAGTTTGGGTTAGCTTTTAACTTATGGGAACTTTTGAATTGTAAAACCCTTTTAAGACTATTTTAAGGAAAGAATACCAAGCTATGTTAAGTTAATAGGCGCTCATAGCCCCATAGAGAAGTTACATGAGGGAGCTTCTAAAAAAGTTTGAGATACGTAAGTTGATCTTAACACATATAAAAAGTTTTATTCATTTCACTCATTTTATTTTTTTTCTCTTAAAATTGCTTGTCATGAAGTTTATCCAAACGAGCTCATTCTCCATTATATTTACATAATCAAAGTCAGTACTTGCTATTTAAATTGAATTTGACCAGTAAGCTCACAAACTTACTTTGAGTTTTCTTGCATTTTTACAGAAGCTTTTAATTGCTGGCCTTGGAATGCTATTTGAGTCTCTACCAATCTTCTTCAAAGTACTTCTCACTAGACGTTCAATTGCAAGAAAATCAGCCTCAGCTTTAGCATGATAGATATTCTGCAAATTCACATATTGCCTGCAAGAACGTGAAGAATATATATATCTCAGGTAAATAAACTAACGATCTTTATTTTCTAGTATGTAAAGATTTGGCAATATACTCAGTAGAAGAAGTCATATCCGGTATAGATCCTTCAAGAGGGGCCTCCCCACTACCTTCATTTGCAATGAAATCCTGCAAAAGGGTGAGAAATGTACTATCAAACAACTTAAGTACATTATACAATCAAGAACATTGAAATGAATAATAGTAGGTTCAAAGCAAAAAAGTATGACAAACCGATAACAAGCAACAACTTTCTGTTAGGCCTCCAGTCTTTCAATTACACAAGTTCTAACTAATTAGCATCCAATAAAAAAATTATAATATTAAATAAATAAGAAATTTTTTTCCACATCCAAGTTAAGCAAAGTCAGTGATGCAATGCCAGAAGCACCAACCTTCAGAGCTGCCACCAACACCCAAAAATCTGAAGAATTAGAGTCCACTTCAGCAGAACTATCATTTAGTATCTGTTGCAACTCGGAACCTATAAATGAACATAACATTAGAGAATAATAAATTACATGTTTTATTGGACTGCAGTGTAACTGTTCTCACAATAATGTTCTAGTTCTAGACAAAAATAATTTTTCAAATGAAAAAATTGAAAACTTGAAAAGAGATCCCCACATAACATCACCCTAAACTGGTGACAACACATTATTCATAGCAAGCCAAGTATGGATTTGTCATTTTTCAGAGACAAAGAACTCTCAACAAACAAGTTTAACTTCATTGCAAAGCTCAACAAATAGATTTTTGGAACCTTGATATAGTAAAATTCAACAGTTTTTTTTTATAAATTTTATTCTTCACTCACTTTATCTTGGGATCCTATAAAATTTAAACCTGCAAGCCCTCAGAAAACAATGCATTATTATACTCCTTATCCAACAAAACAAAAAGATGGAGTTATTTCAAAATGAAGATTGACAAAGGCAAAATGTTACAATGAATTTTAATCTTAAACTACCCACTTACTTATTCCTCGGGGAGCAAATACTTTGAATGATGAATCAATAGCTTCTTTATAATTATCTTCATCTGGTGCAACCATCCCAGCCTTAAGTAGCTCCTACATTGTTCACATCCAAAGCTAATCATATAACTAGAACAGCAGTAGATAAAAAGGCTAAATGATTAAACAACAAACCTTGAACTCCTTTTTTTCTTCTCTGGTCGATGGAAGCCTACCACCATGGCTTTTGGCCCACTCATCAGCTATCTTGACAAGAATGACAACATATGGTATGTGTTTATGAGCCACAGGATCTTGCACATTCAAGTCAATGTCGTCTGCAAATCTGTGGATACACATGAAATGAAAATTTCAGGTGAAACTGGGGAAGGACCAGGTTTATGGTCTCAGCTTTACAGCAATTACATAGGTTGACAGGTGACATTGATGAAGGCAATACCAGATCTTAGTAGATAAGGGGGAAAAAGGGCAACAAAGAGTACAAGGGTCCCGCTAGTGGAGTATGGGATGGCCACATGTATGCAGCCTTAGCCTCGGAAGAAGAGAGACTATTTCCAAGATTTGAGCCCATGCCCCCCTCGGAAGAAGAGAGACTATTTCCAAGATTTGAGCCCATGACCTCCCAGCCACTTGGCATCAGCCTTACCGTTGTAACAAGGGCCAACCCTCATCTTATTAGTATATAAAGGAATTAGCCCCAAAAAATAAAGATAAACAACTCCATACCTCTTGAGTTCAGGCCAAGGATTATTTAACCGAAGATCATCCAAAAAATGTTCAGGCTTTGACTCAACCACAGCATGTTCCTAATAAAGCCAACAAAAAGTACTAATCAACCAAAGCATGCAAATCATGTTGATATTCAATGTCACACCAATGTTTCCTAATAAAGGTATTTTCACCTCTGTAGTTTGTACATATGACTAGAAAAGAAAATTACCCAATCTAGTGCATTCCAGCCATTATTTCCCTTCTCCCTTTAATACCAATTTTCAAACTGTTATCCAAATTACCTTCAAACTAATTCGAACAAACCCTGTAAGGCCATAGGAGCGAGCGAAGATCAAAATAACATTTGCCTCCCTGCAGATTCGGTCAAGCTTTATCATTGAATTTTCCACGAGCTGAAAGTTTATCAAAAGTATCATCATCATTGGAATTGCACTTGAGAAGAATATGTAAAACAACTTTTTTATCAACTGAATAATAAAGATATATTGTCAAGGTTTCTTTCAATCAGAAAGATATAAAGAAACTTAAATATGAATGGAGGCACATAATCTACAATACATATACACAAAATCCCCAAGCATTTGTTTCATAGGAGTTGTTTGCATTATAGTAGCATACCTGAGTGGCAACAACCAAAGTAAATTGAGAAAAGAATGATGGATTTGATTCAATCAATGTTTCAGGAGACTCTTCTACAAATTTTGCTTTAACTGCATCATTCAGCTCTTGAAGAAACGAGCATACACATTTTGCCTTTGATTTCCCAAGGCTTGATTCATCCACTACAAATAAGAGACCAAAATGAAAACCAAAAGAATTCACAAACACATAAGCAGTGTACAAAAAGAAGTCACTGTACCCAAAAAATTGTTTCCAAGGTCACCCACTTCAACTTTAGATCCATCAACTACAGTGATGCTTCCAACCCCACCAAGAACAAGATTCTTAAGTGTTTCAGAACCAGTAGGACCACAGTTAAGTAAGCAAATACTAGACTTCTCAAGGGCTGCCTGTCCTTGTTCACCCCATATTCTGCATTTTCAAATAAACATTGCAATATGGATTAGATCAGAGATGTCCCTCAAAAAAATAAAAGCAAGACAAGCAGAAGGAACTGTTTCGTTTGAGGAAACATTTTCTACTTTCATTTTCTGTTTTCATTTTCAATTTCAAAAATGTCACTATGTTTTCGCTTTAACTCCTGTTTTCAAATGTTTATATAAGCAGTGAAAACAGCCTTTAATTATTTTCTGTTATCACTAATTCCAATACAAACTTAAAATAACATGTTTACTCAACCCAGACGACATTCAAGAATTTATTTTCATACCTCAGTCACAATGCATCAAATTCAAAACACACACATACAGACAAAATTTTACAACAAAAGAAGCACAAGACACAAATTAAAAAATAACACTGACAGTTATCTTCCTGCCACTAAGTGTGTTTGGGAAAGATTATAATCTCCAATTCGGTTATTTTTTTGGAAGCGAAGAAAAAAAGGAGCTATTTGCAAAGAAAAAAAAAGTTGTATGTTTGGGACAATAACTTAAATTTGAAGTTTACGACTATTTCTCAACATTTTTTTCTGTCTAAGCTGATTTACTATGTAAGAACAGTTTGTTTTTTTTGTTGTATCCAAACAAAACTAAAATCTTAAAATCACTTTTCAGCAAACTTATCCAAACAAAATATCATTTTGTTTATTATCGATTGTAGCAATAACCGATAATTGAAATAATTTAATTTTCACATTTTTCCCAAACACACTCTAACAATTGCATTGTACAAACAATTAACAACTAGTTTCCGTTTAGCAATTAAAAAGCAGCTTCACTTCAAGACGCATCTCATCATACACAGAAAACCACACTCCAAATCATCCACAGTTCAGCACAATCCCTAACATGGTACCAAAATCAAAAAACACCGAATGCACTTTCAGCCATAACACCGTCGCAAGAATCCAAACGCCGTAACAACATCCTCCACTCGCTCAAGCAATTAATGGTCGATGACTCTCGTCGAACGAAGCAAACACACGCAACACTCGAATCAATTAAACGCACACCACAATCAATAATCCGATACTCGTACGAAAAAACAGTTATAGAAAGTGTAAGCTAGGTTTTGTTTAGGAGGAACGGTGTTAGGTTAACGCGAAGTGGAAAAGTAGGTAAATGCGGAAGTGGCGAGAGTACCTGAGTTGGCGATCGTATTTAACTTTGGGTTCAGCCATTGATGAGTTCAGACCTGCAATTTTTTTTAAAAATTTTTGCTTCTCCCTTTTCGCTTATTTGGTGAATCAGTTCGAGCTTGCTTTGCTTTGCTTGCTACTGACGCTGTGTATCGGTTTCGAGGCACGACGAGGGAAAGGGGAGAAGGGAAATTTGACGCGACGAGTTCAAGATACGACGTCGTGCGGTGTCACATCCTTCAGATTCTGGATCACTTTTTTTTTTTTTTTGCTGCAACAAGTGTGGATTAGGAAATGAGAAGAAGATCCGCATAGTCATTGAAACACAGTAGAAAGCCCAACCCAATGTGGATCAGTTATTTTCACCTGAACTATTTCTTTTTTCTTTCCCCTCATATAACGTCTGATACAAATTACAAATACAATTCTGTCTAGGGATCAACCCATGATCAGTTTTACTCCTCCATAAAAAATAGAAGTAACTATTTTTTATTTTGTCTTTATTATGAAAAGATATTAATAACTTAAATATTTATTTTATCTCTATAATTTTATAAATTTTATCTTTTAATTCTAACAATTAATATATTTTAGTTTAGTTTTTATAATAAACCATCATAATCATTACACTTATGATTCATCAACTACCAATGAAAAATAATTGACATACCGAAGATCAATATAATCATGATACATGAATATGTACATTATAACACATACACACACATATATATATATACACACATGTAAACTAAACTAAAAATATATATAAGTATATGTAAAGTATTTCAGTAATGAAACTATGAGTCTTAGATTATTATTCAAGTAACATTTATACATCTGGTTACATCAGGGTAACTTAATCAAAAGCAGCAAAACAAGCCACCAGCATCGTCTCACCAAGGTTATTGCCTGACTTTAGCTAACTATGTCCTACTCTCATAAAAAAAATGATTATCGTAGTTCAATCATCAGGAAAAATACATCTATATTATCATTAACCTTAACATGTAAGCCATACAACAAATCACATCATGATCAATAACTTAACACTTTAACTTGGCATTCAACACCTTTCAAGAGTAAATAATTCAAGATATATGAACATTCATATATCACCCCATCAATGTCATTCCACAACATCCTCGACCAAGTATATGAATAACAACAAACAACATTATATCATATGTATGCACCTTAATTAATGTGTCGTTGCGCATTCGCTTATGGGGATCTCCTACAACATTCGAGTAGTTTGAGTGACTTGACTCTATAAAACAAATTCATAATTTTCACATCTTACACGCTTACTAGATTGGCAACTAAAACTGGATGTCAATCCTTACCACATGATTTCTTAAATGTTGTCACTTAGACTATGAAGTAAAGTGTAACTTAAGTATTGACTTACCACGACATTGTCATACATTAACCATGTCACTTATAGAATTAACTCGCTAACTATCATCGCGATACTACACACCTCTCTGATAATTAGTTAAGGATTGTAGCCCTCAATTTCATACCTTACTCTAACATTAACTAAGGATTTAAATGAGACTCAACAATCCACTTCAAGAGTTATCACCTACTTAAGGAGGATTTTTCAACAACTAGCCCCCTATAGCATCAAACCAATATCCACACTATGTGATATTCAACTTTTGGAAACAATTTTTTCTCTAATTCTAAGTCAATCAACATGTCTAAATGTCTATAACACTATCAACATTAACACCTCAACGGGTCAACAAATCAAGTCTAAATACCTTAAAGCATTCTCAACATCACACTTTTAACAACATACATCTATATGCATTACCCTAAGTCAATGGATATATATCTAACAACATTAACTATCTTTATATATTATTCATGATCAACATACATATAACAAATATCACCAGTCAACATATAACATGCAATAGATTCATCTAATCTATTAGTGTTCACAATTTAATCATGCAAACAACTCATTATTACCAGTTAAGCCACGCTTGACGCCACTGAGACAAGAAACTCTTTATCTTGCCCACATTTGGCGCCATACATATGCACTTCATGTGGATTAAATAGAGACCTTTAGCTTTCATGCCTAGTTTGGCAAAGTCCAATGCTCGGCCCTAAACCAATCTTAGACAATTTTCTCTCTTTTCGCTTGACGTTATTCCTTTATCATCTGATGTCAATCAAACCCGAGACAATTCTCTCACCTCATACCCAACATCATTCAAACCCCGCTTGACTTGATTTCAACCTAAGACAATGCTCTCTCTTTACGTCTAGTTTCACTGATCCTACATCCAGTATGAGCTAGATAAACGCCCCTTGGTTGAAGCCATGCTTAACACTTAAAAGGCGCACCCAATGTGATGGTTAGTTGTGCACATAGCAAACTCACGAATTGGCACATAACACCTAAAAAATATAAGTTCTCTACATGCAATACCATATATATATATATATATATATATATATATATATATATATTTCAAAAAATAATAAAATATGAATATTTTGATTACCTTCAAGTTGTTATTCAATTTTAACAAAATTTAATATAAACATATAAAGTGATATGAACATTTCATCTAACGGTTAAATTTACAAAATACACATTTAATATAAAGTTATTGAGCGGTATAATATGTAGTAAAAATTACATCAATGTTATTATAACCCTCTTTTCTCTCTTTCTCTATCTTCTTTATATATATATATATGACGCGGGTTTTGGGCACTGCGTAATAGGAGCCTAGGTTTGATCAATAATTCTAATTATTTTTTAATTTTGAGAATATTATAAATCATAACCTAATGGAATATATTTTAACAATTACCTTAAATGAGTATTTTACTGATTAAATATTTATCATATATAACCAACACAAAGTAATTTTTATGTATTTTGTTTAAAAATAATATAAAATATAAAATAAAAATGATTGAGGATTTAAAATGTAAATCAAGTAAATAGAATTGGAGATTAAAAATAATTACAAAATAAGAGAGTGATTATTATTGATAGGGTGGTTAATTATTTTTATGCATATGTGTTTTTTCAATTTTACTCTTAAGAGAAATGATGGTGGAAAAAATAATATATATTAAAAGAATATAAATGTCTAAATATTAAGAAAATCAAAGAAGAACATCTCCTTTATATATAACTAGTAGGAAAAAGACACACTCTATGCCTCTTAAGTTTTAAAAATTATAAATAAAAAAGAGATAAGTTAAATGAGTAGTCATTAGTCGTTACTTAAAAAATATGAGGAGTTGTTTTATTTATTTTATTTTTAATGAATGAGGAGTATAATGATTCATTAAAAATAGAGAACAAAAATGATTATTTACTATGTATTCCGTTTATAATAGTTAATAGATATAGATTAAAATTTATGTAAATAATAAATATATAAATTATATATAAAAAGTTTATAAATAGATATTTTAAACATGTAAAAATTATTTTTAATTTAAAATAAATAGTTTATATTATTGAACATAATTATTATTAATTATCAATAATTAATCTAAATATATATATATATATATATATATATATATATATATATGTATATATTATCCACAACCCATTTCTCATAAGAAATTCAACATGCAACAATATAATATTAAACACCATAATTCGTCTCCAAGAACCAAAAACACCAAAATCTCAACCAAACAATCATTTCACCTTCGAATCCATTCATACAACCATGAATTTAGCACATCAAAATCACATGCAACCCAACCATCTAGCATTAATTTGAATTATAGCTTCTGCTACCTTTGAAAATCTCCAAATTGGCAAGAAGAGGAAGAAGGAAAAATGAACTCCAAGCTTTTCGAAGCCCCACACCACTCCTCAAAAAGACGATCTTTGGTTAGGAGCCTCTGATCAACACTCAAGCACTAACCAAAAATCTATCTCTCTCTTGAAAAATCTAGAAAGAAGAAAGAGAGAAATCAGAACTCCATAATTTATCTCTCTAGTCTCTTTATAGTGTGTTTGGATGAGAAATTTTAAAAATTCAATAAATTTTAAATTCTTGGTATTTGAATTACTTTGATTTCAATTTCTATCATTCTTTAAATATTTTGTTTGGATGAGTCAATTCAAATTTCTTAAATTTTAAATTGTTAGGTTGAATATGATAATTTGATTCTATCATAGTAAAATTGATTTTAAAAATATATTTATATGTTGAGATTTTTAAATTAAATTTTATAAAAATAAATATTAATCCTTTTTTAAATATTTAATAATTTTAAAAATTAATATTAGATAATATTTAATAATTTTAAAAATTAATATAAGATAATATTTAATAATTTTAAAAATATTTTTGAATATCCAATAATTAAAAGAATGAAGAGATAAGATAAAATATATAGGTGAAATAAGAAAAACAAATATGAGGAATTTCAAATTCTCTCATTTTTTAGAGAATTTGAAATTCTACTATTTTAAGGAATTTCACAAATGCTTGGATTTCAAATTCTTTGTAAATTCCTCATCCAAACACACCATTAAGGTTCTCTTAGAAGTGAGTTTATGAGACTTAAGTCTAAAAAAAAAAATTATATACTTCTTCCCTAGAGTCAGATTGAACCTCTACCCATAAAAGTCTTTTAACTTCTAGAATCTCTCGATAATAATTATAAAATGACACACATCACATAATTATTGATATAAATATAATAATTAAAAAAAATATATAATTGTGCAATTTTTATACATTATTTTTTTAAAAATAAAATAACATTTATAAAAACTAAAACAAAATAAACTCTTGTATATTAAACATGAACTCCAATCTTACGAAAACAAATGTTTTTAGGTGTTTTTCTTCAATAAGAGAGTTTGTAATTTTTTTTAATTCTTCTCTAATGCCTAGTAGCTTATTTATTTCTTATTTGGTTAGGTATCATTATGGCAAGAACTTCAATTCGGATAGTGAAGTGTTAATTGGTTTATATGAAACCTTTCAAAGAATGGTTCCAGCAAGGACAAGAGATAAGAAACACTAGAGCTCTTTATTATCAATCTAAAATTCCTCTTATCTTTTGGGGTGATTGTGTTACTATAGCTGCTTTCTTAATAAACAAGATGCCTTCACCAAATACTAATAACAATTCTCCTTATTATCTTTTATATGGCAAGGAACCTGATTTTAGTTTACTAAAGAGTTTTGGTTGTTTATGTTTTGCAGCCACTCTGTCTTCACAACGAGTCAAATTCTCACCTCGAAGTACAACTTGTGTTTTTATTGGCTATCCTCTTGGTGTAAAGGGTTATAAACTCTATGATCTACAAACTAAAAAGATCTTCCTTTCCAGAGATGTTATGTTTCATGAATCCACTTTTCCATTTCATTCTATCATTAATCATCAACCACCTGATTTGTTTCATGATGTTGTTATACCCTTGCCTATTTCTCCCTCTGATGTTTTACAATCCACCACTGCTGGTATTTCTGATCTTCATAATAATCCCTCACCACCAGCCCAATCTACTACAAATTCTGACACTATTCATACTTCTGAAACACAAGAAAATTTATATCCCTCTTCCACAACATCGTCAGAAGTTTCACCACAACACTTTGACCCACAAAGTTCACATGTTCCTTACTTGCCTGGAACACGAAAATCCAGCAGACAAACTCATAAACCAGGATACTTGGATGCTTATGATTGTAGTAATGCAATCCTTTATCCTATACACGATTACATCACCTATAACAATTTATCCGCAGAGTTTAAACACTTCATTGGCCAAGTATCCAATACTTATGAACCTATCTTTTATCATCAGGCTGTAAATTACCTGGAATGGAGGCAAGCTATGAGTGAAGAACTTCAAGCTCTTGAGGCAAATGACACATGGACCCTTGCAAAGTTACCTAAAGGAAAAAGATGCATAGGGTGTAAATGGGTTTATAGAGTTAAATACTTACCTGATGGAACAGTAGATAGGCTCAAGGCCAGATTAGATGCAAAAGGATATACTCAACAACCTGGAATTGATTTTACAGATACTTTCTCTCCTGTGGCAAAGTTAACCACAGTGAGAACTCTTCTTGCTGTTGCTGCTGTTAAGGGATGGCATCTCCAACAGCTTGATATCAGTAATGCATTCTTAAATGGAGACCTCTATGAGGATCTTTACATGTCCTTACCACCAGGACATCCTTCAAAGGATTAAAACCTTGTTTGTAAACTGAACAAGTCTTTATATGGCTTGCGACAGGCAAGCATGCAATGGTTCAATAAGTTTTCTTCCACTCTTAAAGCCCATGGGTTCACTCAATCCAGGAATGATTACTCCTTGTTTACTTGTGGTAATGATACTAATCTTGTTACCTTGATTGTTTATGTAGATGACATCATTGTTGCTGGACCAAATGCTACTAGAATCCATCAAGTTCAAACCACTTTGCAGAAAATTTTCAAGCTCAAGGTTCTCGGAGATCTCAAATATTTCCTCGGATTAGAGATTGCTAGAAGTAGTAAAGGGATCAATTTATGTCAGCGAAAATATGTTCTTGAATTACTTAGTGATACTGGATTTTTAGCCTCCAAGCCCACTAGTCTTCCCATGGATCCAAACAACAATCTTAATGCTGAAATTGGTGACTTATTGCCTGATCCTTCTTTATACAGAAGGCTTATTGGAAGGCTTCTATACCTAACTATTTCTAGACCTGATATTACATATGTTGTTCATAAGCTAAGTCAATTCATGCAAAGTCCAACAAACATTCCTCTCAAAGTTGTTCATCATTTGCTGCAATATCTAAAAGGCACACCAGGTCAAGGAATTCTATTTCCAGCTAACTCTACATTACAATTAACTGTTTATTGTGATGCAGATTGGGCAGGATGCTTAAGTACCCGTAGATCAACCACTGGTTTTGTCATTTTTTTAGGACAATCTTTATTATCATGGAGATCTAAAAGATAAAAAACAATTTCAAAATCATCAACAGAAGCTGAATATCGTTCCATCTCAACTGCTTCTAGTGAATTGGTCTGGTTGCAAAGACTCTTACAACATTTTGAAATTCATATACCTACAGCTATGTTACTTTGTGATAATAAATCTGATGTGGCTTTAGCTACTAATCCTGGTCTACATGACAGATCTAAACACATTTATGTAGATCATCATTACATTAGGGAGTTAGTTGAAGATGGCCGCATCAAATTGATACATGTGAATGTTGAGTGTCTTTTATTCTTGATTTACACTCAACTTTTGCCACTCTTTTTGGATAAATTGTGAATATATATATGATAATTTACCTCTAATTAGGAAGAATTAAGTTCATATTAAAAGATAGAAGAGTAGTAGAAAATTAATGATGATTCCCCTCATTTTTTGCAGAAAATTTAGGAAGGCAGAGATCCACAACCATAGCTGTGGATTTGGAGCTCGAGCTGTGGAAATCTGGGAAGGAATTAGAAATCCAGAAAGTTGCAACTATAGTTGTGGATCTGCAGCTATAGCTGTGGAAATCTGGAATTCAATTTGAAGTTCTAGAGAGTTGAAGCTAAAGCTGTGGACTCACAACTAAAGCCATGGAGCACCCAGGACCCTACAAAAATTCTAGAGATCCACAGCCATAGCTGTGGCTTCACCGTTGTAGTGCTGGAGGTTCCTTCACCCTGAAGGACTCTCCACAGCCATAGCCGTGGATCTACAACTGCAGCTGTGGGTGGAAAAGGTACTATTTAATGTTTAAAAATATTTATTTATAATTTTTTTAATATAATGTATATATTTAAATATGATATTTATTTATTTATATAATTTATTACAATATTAATTATATATAATAAATATGAATGTGTATTTTATATACTAAAATATTAATATTTATTAATTATAAAAAATGTTAAATTACATAGATCAAATAGATATTTAAATTTTGACTAATGTTTACCATGAAATCAATCCATAAATAATGATTAAAAAACACCAATAAAATTACATGCATAGCTATAATAAATGGTTTTGAAGAATACCATTATCACTTTTAGTTTAATAATTTTATCTCTCAATTTAGAAATACTAAAATTTGGTTTCATTTAATAAATTTTAGTCGATCGGTTAAATGAGCCATCGATATATATTTAACGGTTGTCTTAATTTTATATATAGATTGGAGTACTCTTTATACTCCCTTATTTTAATATTATGTTTTTTACTTATAAAAAAAAGATAATAATAAAATTCAATCATTAATTCAATAATAAAAACATCTCATTCAATGTATTTCTTTATTTCTTTCTTTTAGACTCGATATATGTTTTTTTTTTCAGTTATAACATGAAACAACTAGAATCCCCTAGAAAAACATGTATGAGTTATATCCACTTTTAGCTCATTAATTACAAAATTTGGAGAAAAATTAAATATATGATATTGTCTATCTAAAATTAAACTATCCTTTAATAGTTTCTTAGCTATTTAGTTGGCTTTGCTAAAAATGTGTTTCTAAGTGATCTTTTCACCTGAGTCATAGGTTTCATGAATTTCTTGAGTAAGTTTGAAATACAAATTAAATCTAACACATGTTTAGAGTTTTAAATTTAATTCTAACATGTTTCTAAACCTTTTAAAATAAGTTGTGCACAATTCTATTCAATACAATTAATCACACAAAGGTTTCTAAATCCCAAATTTCCAGGAACATCAAATAAATACCAATACACAACACATCACATCATTAGGGGTGATCAATCACACAAATATGATTTTTCAAGGTATTTGTGATTCATCCAAATTCAAAATAAAGAAAAACCATAAATCAAATGAGGATCTAAGGTCAACCTCTTTACTCATGGATTATGCTACATCCATGAGCAAAACCTTCTCACATTCCCTTCCCTCAAATGATGGAAATATAACAAGAGTTGAAATAACTCACTTCTCATATGAGATTCTCCTTAATACTATATGATGACAACATATTTTTAAAGAAAAAGTTATGCAACATAAAACAAGATTTAGTCCTTTTTTTTTTTTTTAAGTCCATTTTTGACACTCATATTTTCATAATATTATTTATTTATTTTATAAAATATTTTCATGTACATATAATATAAATAATTTTATTATTGAGCCGCATGCAACACTTGTACTATAAAGACACCATTTCTCTCTAAAAAAAATTAAATAAAAGTTGATTATTTTGCTTAAAAAAATGTAAATTTTTTCCTACAAATTCCTAAATTCACAAAAAACCTTATTATTTGCGAATATATTACTCGAGGATCAAATTTTTTTCAAAATTCACAAAAGAATCACTTTTCCTCTGTGTTTTTGTTTAAAACCTACCAGCTAGAATATAATAATAGAAATACTAAAAACAACATTTACTGTAGTAGTTTTCTTTGTGCATTAAATTTTGCAAGAAAAATCTCTAAATACACATTTTTCTAAAAAAACAAACTACAAAAATTGACAATTATATTGCAAAAAGTTTCCTTTAAATTTCAAAATTCACATAAAATCATAATCAATCAACCAATAGTGGGAGTATATACATGAAAAATTAGATTCGTTCTCATTACTGTTTGAATTTTCCTACTACTAAAAAATTGCATAAAACTTATTGTCTATGAACAATTCTTTTATAATTAAAATTTAAGAAATTTTCCTATATAATTAGCGAAATTCTAATTATACAAAACAGTTTGAAATTGAATTGCCTCTTCGCTGCCCTCAAAAGTTATTCACAAATATTTAGAGACACCTCTAGCAAAACACAACAAGTTTTGTGTCCCCATGCCTCATGTAAATCTAAAATGGGCATGCATGATCATAAACTACACATACTTATATTAGTTTTTGGTTATACTAGCCATGATCAAGTAAACTAGTGGTGGTATACTATATAGAAATAATTCAACCCAAAAATTAATGGGCACATCATAAAATTAAACCGTAGAGAATCGTCAACGTTTGTACTGTGCACCCTGGATCTACATGCTACTACATGGCAACGAAAAGGATAACTTTAACACGACACCCGAGAAATTCAGCTTGTCTTTAATGGGAAAACCCTGTAGCCATTTTTGAAATCTTTTCAGACATAACGATAAAATGTAAAACCAATGTTACCCATCCTTCTCCATCGTTGCTTTTTTTTGGAATGGATTAAAATGAAATGCTAGTTTGTTAAATTTAAAACATGATTACAAATAAAAAAAATAAAATTCCACCTCTTTCGGATCATAGAAAAATGATTTTTTTAATAAAATGAAAAAAAATGCAATTAATATTATGCAACTTCACGAAAAGAGCTAAGAGCTGACTTCGAAATAATCAGCGTCTTATGTAGGGCACTTTGCATTAGACGAAGATAAAGAAAACGTAATTTGTCGTTTTCATATTTATATTTGTACGCGTGGAGAGAGCTGAGCTGATAGCAGGACGTTGCAGAGCATAGGAGCATCTAGAGAGGTTGGCTATGTCTACGATAACTTTCAAATTGATTCTAGAATTATCACCATCACTTGCTTAAGATTGCATTTTTTTTTCAAATTCAAAATCATTTTAAAGTCAAATGTAATTTTTTTACATAATCTTAATTAAGAATCATAATAATCTTATCGCTAGCATTTAATCTTTTAGAATTAAAAAAAGTGAAATGAAAGAAATGTCATACATTTTTTCTTCTACTCACTATAATATTGATACGAGCTTATAAGTTTCAAAAGAGCTTATAAGTTTTAAAAAATAAAACACTCATTTAAAAAACACTTAAAAAATGTTTTCATTAAAAAAAATAGCTCCAAAACTCCTAGCAACTATTTTAATTAAGAATAATTTTCTTACACACTAATTTTTTAAACACTATATTAACACCTTCGATTTATTTTATTTTATTTTTTTTACAACATATCACCTATTATAAAAAAATATGCTTGAGACAATTATTTTTAAATAGTTAGCCACATTCTTTAATAAAAATTAATTATCAATAAAATTATTAAAAACTTTATACCAACATCATGGTAGACGAAAAAAAATATCACCTATAATTTATTTTTCTCTTTCGCTAAATGTTGAATAACATTTGGGATGTCTAAAAATATTTGTTTTTCAATTATATTATCTCGTGTCCTTTTCATTCTTATCGAATTATAAGCTTTTCTTTTCTTTTTATAAGAATCAATCTATCTTTTATATTAATTATTTTTTAGCATATATATATATTGATTATGAGTCATTTTTTCTGAATTTAATTGATCCCACTTTCATTTTTTAAAATAATCATTTAAAGTTGTTATATAAAATTTAGTAAACAAAATAAAAATTTTCATTTTCTATAAAACAATTATGATATTTTCTTTTATAGTCTCTTTCATTTGGAATTATTTTGATTGACTTAGCTGTAAAAAACTTGTCAAATTACAGTAGTATGCGCATGACTTTTTTGTTTAAGATGTCATTGTAAATTTGTAATTCTTTTGGATCATAAAAAAATACTCTGTTTATTTTTTGTTCTATAATAAATACATATTAATTATTAATGTGTAAATTGAAATTAGATGGGATGTAAGAATATAATTAAAAAAGAAAAAAAAATAAATGACAAAATTTTTTTTACTAAAAAATAAACAATTAAAAAGAATATGAAGTCTTTTTTCTTAGTCACATTTTCTCATAAATATTACTTAAATTAAAGATGTTATTTAAAAAGATAAAGTATAATAAAAATAAAGTAATTATCAATTTCTTGTCACATTAATCATTTATAGTGAGAAAGATCTCCCTCCTAACTACACACTGTGCTTTCATAAAACTTAATCCTAAAATACTACTACTATTTGTTATGAACAAATCCAGTTCATCAAACCTAACACATGTTGATTTCCCCTTAATTGATTAAAACAACATAGCTATGTGTGATATCACCAAATTTCATTGGTAGTGATAGTTTGTTAATATGTCACAGTAGTTGACAGAAGCTCAGCTGAGGCTTAATGGTGCCCCTTTTTGTTTTACATCCCAATCAATAGTTATAGTTAGTCATCATCATCATCGACAACCACAAAGGCATGCTGCCCTAGTTCAAATTCACACTTGCACCTTCATCTCTCTCCTTGCACAACACGCCACAAAACCGTTACCATTTCGGGCACTCCCAGTTCCATCCTTATCCCACCTCCGAATGCGTCATCACCGCCATGTATATAACGACGGCCTCTTCCTCTGCCACTTCGCTCCTCAGAGCAACCAGGCCCAAACTCTTCTCTCCCTCACCTTCTAGAACCTTCGCTTATCCACGTTCCTTCGCTCCCTACTCCTCCCGCACCTCCTCCGCCGTCACGCGATCCTTGCGCGCCTCCCTTCCCCGCTGGAGCCACCGCCTCCATCGCGCCTCTCCTCAAATCAGAGCCGTTGCTCCCGCCGCCCAACGCTTCCGCCGCGAAATCGCTACCATGGGTGCGTGCTTCACTCCTCCTTTCTCACACTGTTTTGAAGCGCTTATTTTACTTTTTTCACCTAATATTTGTTCATTTCTCCAATTCCGTTTAGAATTTTGCTGTCACATATCCGTTTCTTGCATTCTGTTTACCGTTCCGACACGACCGTGCGTTACACACACACACACGATATCCGTAGTGTGGTTTGCATATCTTATTATCCAACTGTCATTGTGTGAATTTATATTTGTAACATGTATTTGAGTTTCTAATGTGTAGTGCTGAATTTTGTGTTCTGGTTGTTGTTCATTTCAGCCAATGAAAATCCTTTCAGCGGAAACTTGACGAGTCTCCCCAAGCCTGGTGGTGGCGAGTTTGGAAAGTTCTACAGTCTTCCTTCTCTCAATGATCCGAGAATTGGTAACTTCAGACTTGATAACTTGGCTTAGCCTGATTTTGTTCGTGGTTTGAATCCTGTTATTTGTAGAATTGAATGCAATGGTGTCTTGTTTAAAGTAGATGATGTTGGTAATTTCGTTTCTGGATTATCTGTGTGACAGTTCTGTTACTGATGGTATCAACTTTATGCCTGCCTAACAGACAGGTTACCGTACTCCATCAGAATTCTCCTTGAATCTGCCATTCGTAACTGTGACAATTTTCAAGTCAAAAAGGAAGATGTTGAGAAGATTCTTGACTGGGAAAACACTTCTACGAAGCAAGTTGAGATTCCTTTCAAGCCCGCACGTGTTCTCTTGCAGGTATCTTGTAAACTTCAGTATGTTGTTATGCCAGGGGGCCTTGATTCTGTGTTTTATTCTTATGAACTACTTTCCTCTCCCCAGGATTTTACTGGAGTCCCTGCTGTTGTTGACCTGGCTTGCATGCGTGATGCTATGAATAAGCTTGGAAGTGATTCAAATAAGATCAACCCTCTGGTATTCATCTTTCTTATCACTAGCATGTGCTTGTGTTCTGTATAAATGTATTGATCAAAGTCACCAAAGAGATTTCAAAATTTTAACTCCACATCATGGAGTGATACATGTACCTTGAACTCATAATTACCACTGTAGTATTAAAGAAGTTACCTTTTGTCTGGTAACTTTGACATATCTAAATGTAATCATTTTTCTCATCTTCACCTTATAAAAGTTAAGTAATTGATATCACTGAAAAATATTTTCCTTTATAGTTAGCTGCCCTAGTTTATTGTTATAGCTTTTGGTGGGGTTTGGCAATCTTTGAAGTTAGGGTCAAAACTAAACTAGTCAAGGTAGAAGTCGTTTCTTAAATTATCAAATTAGACTTACATGTCTAATATTTAATTAATTTAATGACACACACACACACACACACACACACACACACATATATATATATATATTTATATATATTATTGTTTGGTGAATCTTTTGTAAAACTTTAGATAGTAGAGGGAAAATAGGAGACTCTCAGTGGGGAAACTTCATTTAAATAGGAATTTTGAAAATTCTTCTAAATTAGTTTGACTTAAAAGTGCTTCAAAGTTTGAGTGATTACCCAAACAAAATTTGTTAACTACATACCAAGTAGTTATTGGGATTTTGGAGTTTGACAAAATGCTGTATTAGACATGTTATCCTATTTTTGGTTTGTTAGAAGTGGTTCTAAGCTGCAATTGTGGACAGGTTCCTGTTGATCTTGTCATTGATCATTCAGTTCAAGTTGACATTGCAAGGTCAGAAAATGCAGTGCAGGCCAACATGGAGCTTGAATTTCAGAGAAACAAGGAGAGATTTGCTTTTCTTAAATGGGGTTCAACTGCATTCCGTAACATGCTTGTTGTTCCTCCTGGTTCTGGTATAGTACATCAGGTAAGTTTGGAAACAAAGATGCCAAATGATTTCATGGAATTTAATTGTTCTTTTAATCATTAATATTGGGCACTTGTTGTTTGATGTCTTGAATTCCAGGTCAATCTTGAATATCTTGGAAGGGTTGTATTCAACAATGAGGGCTTACTCTATCCTGACAGTGTGGTTGGGACTGATTCACATACAACTATGATAGACGGGCTTGGTGTTGCTGGATGGGGAGTTGGAGGCATTGAAGCTGAGGCAGCAATGCTTGGTCAGGTACATTACCTTGTGATCTTAAATCTTGATATATATAAATGTGTTATGCAATGAATGTTAATCTTTATTCTATTCAAAACACTACTGAGTACTGATTAATGAATTTTGATGGAACATTTGACTCATTAGAAGGATTTGCTTATTTGCTTTATCTTGAAGTGTGATGATAAAATTGCTGTGCTATGATACTTAACAGCCTATGAGCATGGTTTTGCCTGGTGTTGTTGGGTTCAAGCTTTCTGGAAAACTACGTGATGGTGTTACAGCAACAGACTTGGTTCTAACTGTGACTCAAATTCTCAGAAAGCATGGTGTTGTGGGGAAATTTGTAGAATTTTATGGTAATTAAGTTCTCTTTAGGCCTACTGTTGCATATTTTTTCTCCTTTTTTTCAGCTTACACTGATTGTCCTTGCTAATTAACAGTTCTTTGTTTTGTTCTCTAGGTGATGGTATGGGTGAATTATCTTTGGCTGACAGGGCCACTATTGCCAATATGTCTCCTGAATATGGTGCCACTATGGGATTCTTCCCTGTGGATCATGTTACATTACAATATCTCAAGTTAACCGGAAGAAGTGATGAAACTGTAAGTACCGGATATTAACTCATTATTTGCTGATGTGAAATGCTTACAAGTTATAGATCTATTGATCTTCATTTTCTCTTGATACATACAGGTGGCCATGATAGAATCTTATCTCAGGGAAAACAAACTGTTTGTTGACTATAGTGAGGTAATATTAGTAGAATGTCATTACCCTATACACCCGTTCATTTTGACAAAATAAAGTATGTATCAATGTTGGATGTATAGATTGCTAATTTATTTTCCTTAAATTCAGCCCCAACAAGACAGGGTGTATTCATCATATCTAGAATTAAACCTTTCTGATGTTGAACCATGTATGTCAGGTCCAAAGAGGTAAGATCCTGTGTCATTCATGTGTTGCTCTGTATTGTATGTAGGTTTATTTCAATTTTTATCCTATTGTTGATGTAAAAATTATATTAAATGACATTCTTTGTAGACCTCATGATCGGGTGCCATTGAAAGAAATGAAGGCTGACTGGCATGCTTGTCTTGATAATAAAGTTGGGTTTAAGGTTAGTAGTACTGTAATATTCAAAAACTTTTTTTTTTTTAAATTTTAATATTTTGGTCTTATAAGAAAATGTTTTTGCAATCCATATGTTGAATTAGCTGTTGATAGTTGTAAGAAAAATTACTATTTCTTACCCATTTGGTTTTGTGACAAAATTCTAATTGGGTTCGTAGTCTCACTTTCAGTATTTGTCTGCTGTAATGGACAAACTAATATATAAGCTCATAGATTCAACTCATAGACCTTCTACTCATAGATTCATTGTCATTTGCAAAAGTCTTTAGAATATATAAGCTCCATTTTTGTAATGTTTCATCAACTCACTCAATGCCTTAAGCAGCAATGCTATCTTACTAATATAATTAATCTTCATCAACGTCAGTTCTGTTCCATTCACCTGTTCATTATATTATCAACTTTTGGTGGCTCTCACTTGCCTGAGCAGTGAGCACCAAGCTACTTCTTCTGTTCTCTATTATAAGCACAAAAAAGTTTTTTTATTCTTAAATATAAATTTTTTTTAACTATTTTTGTTTCATTTAATGATTCTCTCTCTAATCCCTCCTTTAATACATGGCCTTTCAGTTACACTATATCTTTTGGTATTTATTACAAGGACAATTTAGGAAGAACATTATACAATTAGTAAAATTTAATTCTGATAACTAATTTCTTTAATATGTGTAAAATCATTTTTTTTTTGGCTTATCATAGAGAACAAAGGGAGTAATAATGACTGAAGACCACTTATGTATGATATGTATTCTTGCCTTTGAAAAAGTCAAGTCTCTTGTTCAGAACAACAACAATGATGTCAAAGCCTCTTTTGGGTTTTCTATAAATTCTTTCTTTCTTATCCTGTGAATGGGTGTTTGGGAGATCCATGTAAACAACTGGAGGGGATCTAAGTACCTACACAATGTTTTTTCTTCATTGTAATTAAATATGCTGAAGTGGAATCATCCTTGTTTCATTTACTGTTGTCTGATGAGAACCATACATGAATATAAGCTACTGCATTTCCTAAATGTTCTATTTAAATGCAGGGATTTGCTATACCAAAAGAGGCACAAGGAAAAGTTGCAAAATTTGATTTCCATGGGCAGCCAGCAGAGCTCAAGCATGGCAGTGTGGTGATTGCTGCAATCACAAGCTGTACAAATACATCAAACCCAAGTGTCATGCTAGGTGCTGGTCTTGTTGCAAAAAAGGCTCATGAGCTTGGTTTGCAGGTTAGGCACGAATATAGTAATATAAAAAAGCTGTAACAATGCTACTTCTCTCCTTTTCAGGATGAAGTCCTTAGCTACTGGTGTCTGTTTTTGCTTCACATAATAAAGTTTTTTGTGGTCATTTTCTTTTCTTGATTGTAATTGTTGCTATTTTCACTATTTTGCCAGGTCAAGCCTTGGGTTAAAACAAGTCTTGCTCCAGGCTCTGGAGTTGTTACAAAATATTTACTCCAGAGGTATTTTGTGCTTCTTATTAGAATACTTATGCAGTAATTTGTATTATATTGTAGTCACTTCCCCACTGTACAATTTTGGGAAAATATGTTCTGATATTTTATTTGTTTCTATTTTTATGGCAGTGGACTGCAAAAATATCTAAATGAACAAGGTTTTCATATTGTTGGGTTTGGCTGTACTACATGTATTGGAAATTCAGGAGAGCTGGATGAATCCGTTTCTTCTGCCATATCAGAAAATGGTCATATTTTTTAACAACATACAATTTCTTTAACTGAAGCTGATTTCTCCACAAGTCTTAGTTTTCTCGGACAATATTTTTCTTGTTTGTAACTTATATTTGCCTTGATTTGGGTTCTGTAATGCAGACATTGTAGCAGCTGCTGTGTTGTCTGGGAACCGTAATTTTGAGGGCAGAGTACATCCATTAACCAGAGCCAACTATCTTGCCTCTCCTCCTCTAGTTGTTGCTTATGCTCTTGCTGGCACGGTATGTTTGTCTAATTCATATTCCTGATGTGTACATGATTTTTTTTGCTTCTTCTATCTTTTTGTACAATATTATCTGATTTTTATCTCTCTTTGTATGGGGAAATAGTTATTTGATTCGTTGTTAAAAATAAATAAAACAGACAAATCATAAAATTCTTGCATGCAAATCACAAACATTGGTATTGACTGCTAGTTTCCTGACTTTCCTCATTCTCATTTGTGTATGCCTGAATGAGTATACTTGAGCTATGTGTAATGTATTTGGACTCAAGTAGAGTACAAATGCATTGTACATTTCCTTTCTATTATTCTCAATTTTCTCATAACAAATATGGTGGCTTTATTCTAACTTTTTGGATACTTACATCCAGAAGTCTAGTTATGGACTAAACATACAATAATAATTGCATGTCTGCGCACATGATACATTAAGGGCGTGTTTGGTTTTGATAAAACTTTTTCTGTTTTCATTTTTGTTTTCACAAATAATTACAAAAAAAAAATGCTATTTTGTTGTATGTTTTCAAAAACTTGTACAAGCAGTACGGAAAACAATAAAATCCTGTTTTCAATGTTCCTTGTACAAATTTTTGAAAATAAGAAATGAAAACACAGAATGTTTTCTTGAACCAAATAGGCCCTAATATTATGGTCTTTGTTTTTGTGTAGCAAAAAAGAACTTGACTATGAAATTTGGTATTCATAAATTTTTCCTGACTCTGACGGATAATACCATATCATGAAAATATGTGCTAATGTTCTATTGATTATTTGATTATTGAGGCTGAGATTTATATAGAACCTTCTTTAGTAGGAAGAATACTTATTTTTTATTTATTTTTATGAAAATGATGATGAAATTTAAGTTAAAAAATAATAAAACCTGAAATGTTGTTGGACCTTCATATGCCTTTGTGTCAAATTTCCAGGTTGATATTGACTTTGAGAAGGAGCCAATTGGGACAGGGAAGGATGGAAAGAATGTCTACTTGAGGGATATCTGGCCATCCACTGAAGAAATTGCCACGGTAATTGATACCGAATTTTGATAGATCTAAGCACGATAAACTGCTGGAAAGCTTCTTCTATTTATGAAACGAGGAATTTCCACCGAAACGGTGGATATGTATTGGATACTAGAAGGCTATACTAGTAAGAATAATGAAGAAAATTGCAAGAAAATATCTCCTAATTGCTTGAACTGAGACCAAGCCACATTGACTATACTTCACATCAAAATTCTCTTTCCCCCTTATAACTAGCTTTACCTACGCCTATCCTTCCCTCTCTTCCATTTCAGTAACTAACTATCCTTATCAAGGTCCTTCATGTGTCCCTTTATTCTTTCTAGTGGAAACCTTTCAAGTCGGAGGGCCCTTGACTAATTTGCCCATGCCAACGGACCCTTTACCTAGTGTGGAGTGTGGACTATCAAATTTTCTTATTATATGAAATTTAGTCTAAATATGCATATGTGCGTACACAACATTAACTTTGGGTGACTTTTTACTCCTAGGTTGTCCAATCCAGCGTGTTGCCTGACATGTTCCGAAGTACATATGAGGCTATTACCAAAGGGAACCCCATGTGGAATCAGCTACAAGTTCCTGCTGCAACTCTCTACTCATGGGATCCCAACTCAACATATATTCATGAACCCCCATACTTCAAGAACATGACCATGGATCCTCCTGGACCTCATGGTGTAAAAGATGCTTATTGCTTGCTGAATTTCCTGCTGAAACTCTCTACTCATGGGATCCCAACTCAACATATATTCATGAACCCCCATACTTCAAGAACATGACCATGGATCCTCCTGGACCTCATGGTGTAAAAGATGCTTATTGCTTGCTGAATTTTGGTGACAGTATAACCACTGATCATATTTCTCCTGCTGGAAGCATCCACAAGGACAGTCCTGCTGCTAAATACCTTCTTGAGCGTGGGGTGGAACGCAAGGACTTCAATTCTTACGGAAGTCGTCGTGGCAATGATGAGGTGATGGCAAGGGGAACTTTTGCCAACATTCGCCTTCTTAACAAGCTCTTGAATGGGGAAGTTGGCCCAATGACAATTCACATTCCAACAGGGGAAAAACTGTACGTGTTTGATGCAGCAACGGTGAGTTATGTCCCACTCAAACAGGGCATGTTTTTGTTTACTGCTTTCGAACTTTTCAAATGGCAAAACATACTGCATTCTATATGATATTTTCTAGTGCTGATGTTTTTCTATATTTATTTTCAAAATACTAGCAGAGAATGTCTTTATGACAATATTTTCTAAATGTAACAACTATCGAGTCTTGCTTGTTCAAAGAGATGATAGAGGCTTCTTATTATAAGCACCGCAAAGCATGATATTCTAACTAGGGCATGTGAGCATTACCCCTTGATTTGGTAGTAATACTCGTTTAACTGGTGGAGTAGGGTATTATTGTGGCTCTAAATCCACTGCGTACTGTTCATCAAATGCAATTCCCTCTTTTTCTTCTCTGAAGAAAAAAGAGACTTGGTGAATCCCATTGTGTCAGAGAAATAGAGAATGTGATAGACCATAATTAATTTTAGCTCTATTAAGTTTCTAATTCCCTGGAATTGTTGTCTCATGCCAGAGATACAAGGCATCTGGGCAAGACACCATTGTGCTGGCTGGAGCTGAATATGGTAGCGGGAGTTCTAGAGATTGGGCTGCCAAGGGTCCAATGCTACTGGTGAGTTCTTTTATATAAATTGCATTTTCTTTCTTAAAACATAAAGTTTAATATTCCTGGTGGCTGATGACGCGAGCCTTTCGATAATAGGGAGTCAAAGCTGTGATTGCTAAGAGTTTCGAAAGAATTCATCGCAGTAATTTGGTAGGAATGGGTATTATTCCTCTCTGCTTCAAAGCCGGTGAGGATGCGGACACATTGGGATTGACTGGTCATGAACGATATACGATTGACCTCCCAAGTAAAATCAATGAGATTAGGCCTGGCCAAGATGTCACAGTTACAACCGATAATGGAAAATCTTTCACCTGCACAGTACGCTTTGACACTGAGGTAATTTAAGCATTTCATTGATTTATTTATTTTTTAAAGCTTTTTTTATTTATGCTTGCATTCTAGAGCTACATTGTTGAGGTTTGGATTAGTGCTTAACATAATGCTGTCGTATTTTCAGGTTGAACTTGCTTACTTCAACCACGGAGGCATACTTCCATATGTAATAAGGAACCTCATTAAGCAGTGAAGCCATTGTATTTGTCGATGGAAAATTCCAAGCTTTTCAAGTTGTAAAATGTGAGAATAATTTTCCGAGTGATAGTAAAATATCCCTTTTTTGGGGAGATTTTGACATTCTTCAAAGTTTGTTTATTGTTAGACCAGTAAACACTGATTAATTTGATTGTGTGATAACTCTGCCCCTTGAAAATGGGGACAATTGTGTAAGCCAACGTGAAGTATGAATCGTACCCATTGCTCTTGCCACTCGGTCTGCTAAAGACGAAGGGTTGAGGTAGTGAATACTGAATAGTATTCTTTTTCTAATGCTTCGTTTTTTGTTGATATTTTATAAAGAAAGAAAACATTTTTTTTACTAGTAAGAAAAAGACATTCCTTAAAACAAGAGTAATAAATATTTTTATGAATACTTGTTGTAGTTTCAAAATAAAATAAAAAAGAAAAGAAAAATAATGAAAAGTTATTTGTAAAAAAGATAATTTTAGGAAATTGTAAAAAAAAATAAGAGAAAAAATAGTTCATGTAAAAATAAGAACAGAAAGCAGTTATCATAATGGATATATATAT